GAACATTGTTTAAGGCAGGCTAGATCAACGGGATAATTTCAGAAGCCGAAATCCGCGTTCTGTTCATATTGAAATTGAGACCTTTTTTAAGTATTGAAAGTTCGCGTTGATTTAACTGTCTATCTCAAATGCTCCTACTGTAAACCAGTACTTATTGGAGTACCACGAGACTCTGGATGTGGTCCTTTACTTTTTATACTGCGAAATAAATAGGCCAAGCATACGGGATGGGTCTGTGCCCACAGTCTGGCTTCACAGTGATCTTGGAGTAACGGTTAGACATTACCTTAAGACGACGGCTCACTGCCATGCAATTACTGTTAGGGCTTTAAGACGAGCATTTACCAAGTTGCATATCAATATATTTACTACAGTATACACAAACTTAGTGGGATCCAAACTTGACGGCTATGTTCAGGCTTCAAGTTCCTATTTAAACGGTGACTCGGATGTGTTGGAAAAAGTGCGGAGGGCATTTACCTGTGGAACTTCAGAACTCCGAGCTATACTATTCACAGAGCGGATCGAGAAGCTAGACCTCTTTACCCTGTCCTACCGCAGATTAAAACGTAGTCTGATTTTGATGTGCAGGATATCAAGAAGTGATTTTCAACTGAACGTATCTTTTCTCTTTCTTTGTACCAGATCAGGCCAACTCAGAGGACACGGCAAGCGGGTTCAAGAGACAAGAAAGAACAACATATCCATGGCATTAAGGATTTCCTACCAAGTCATCGGTTCTCGAGACTTTTTACCGTTCTCTTAATTAGCTCATTCCAAAGAGGACGATAAACCCACAGAAGTTTACTGGGAGAGAACTAACATAGGCCATTGGCCTTCGATCCTCAATACATAAGTTGGAACCTAAAGGTAAGTAAACCCACCAATAACTGCCTGACTGACTGGAAAGGCTAAACCGTCGCATACCGTAGATTGCTAGAGACCTGGGAAGAAGCGAGCCCAAAGAAACCAGTCAGTTTACGTAAGCTCGCCACAAATATATTGGATACTTGAAATTTGGTGTTCTAGTAACCGGCAATATTTTAAATAAGTTGACAACGGTAAGATACGAAGTAATTTAATTTAAAAACTGGCGGATTATTGTTTAGTTAGACCAATAAGTTTATTTGGAAACTTTCAGTTAGTTGAATGATAGTTAAACGAAGGATTTATGCTTATTTCATAAAAAGTATTCATTTCAACTTATATAAGTTGAAGTTATATCATATATAATATAGAAGTTGGAAATCAAGGCAGGAATTCTGAAAAAGATATAAAAAATATAGCATAAATATAGACGAATATGCGTTAAATTTTTGCTCTTTTCCCAGCCCGGGGAGATAGTACAAGTTTTCCTTGCAATTCCCCTACGGAGGGAAAATGTCTCGAAATTGACACCTGCTCCTTCTTCAAAATATCTACTCTTCTCCAATATATATATATATATATATATATACATCCTAATAAATTGTGTTTGCATAGATACTGATGTAGTATTAACCTTATTTGGAGTATTTGGACAGCTTTGGTGCTCAAATAGTGACTTATCGTGGAAATTTTCATTAGTTTTTTGCCAATAAAATGCTGTATACTTGCTTATAAACTAGTGAGGTCCTGTGTTTCTATGAAATATACATTTGCTTGTGTAGCCAAAACATTGATGCTCCCCATGTGTGGGTTGTACCACATGACTAACCAACGCCCAATATTCCTGAGTTTAACAACTAGTTGTTGAGAATTTCTTAAGATATTTCGAAAGATTGTACCTGATGTCTAACTATCTTAATAGGAATGTGCTTGTTGAGAAGAATACCTGATCTCATTAACATTTCTATGGCCTAAACAATCTTTGGGTCAGATTTTTATGGTTGCATGTCTGGAGTCCGTTTATAATGTAAGTTGGTTGATCTTGGACACCTCCGAAGACTATTAGTCCATTGGTTTCGGTTTATAGCACAATCTGCTTATGGGAGGTGTGGTTATTCCAAACAAAAGTGAGGTATCTCTTGAAGATGGATGTTGACAGTGGTCTCACATGCTCATCGTTCTCAACATAAAGTACGTTTTAATCGGATGAATAATAATGTGTTGAGATGGCTAAAACACTTCATTACTAAGAACAGAGTACACAATGGCCGGAAAACTTATTTGAATATGACGTCCATATATCTGTATGGTAACACTTAAATGCTGCTATATCCCAAAAACATCCATAATGTCGTTCGTTAACACAATACTGTTTGAAGGTTTAGGATAAACCGAATGAGGTGACAGTCTAGCGGCAGATTAAAATGAAAATTCTATCAACAAGAGCAGTTTATAAGTGACTTAAGGAATGAACGGTCACAAATTAAGCAACAATAGTCTTGATATAATTTGAAAGCAAAGTTAAAAATGTTTCCTCGTCTTGTTCAATCTGAAAGCACTTCCAAATGAATAAATTTTTGTGTTTAAAACTAAACTAAAAACTCTCATTGTGTAGATCAAAACAATTAATACAAGCGGGAAATATTGTTTTCAGTTGGAAATGGACGAAACCGTCAATGGACAGTTTTGTTTAACCATACTTGATTATCATTTTCATGTGACATATAAGACCCAATCATATTAAGCGATCCATCATATACCTTCGCATTCTCTTAGTGTGTTTTAATCCCATTTTTACACTAGTCAGAAACTATGGAAATGTGAGCTAGTAACTCCATTCCATCATTTATTAAATATTTATAGTACTCATGTTCCTTCCTTGGTTGTAGAAAACTTAATAGAGGATTATGATAATTCTACATACATTTTGCTTCAGTTTCATCATGATTTTGGATCTCTTACTTATTAATTATTTAATTAGGCTGATTACTCACTTTTGATTACATAATTTTCGTGACAATCCTTTTGATGAGTTTATTTTATTAGGTTGGGGTATTCATTTATGCTTCTTCGGTTAATCTTTACCATTGCTAGTGTACTTACAATTCTATCATCAGTTTTACTTTTTTTAATTATGAACAGTTGTGTAATCCACCTCGTTATCGTCTCTAACATAAATTTCCTTGACTAATCTATTCGTAAGGGTGTATAAATTTGGCCGTAAATGGAAATAGAGCTTGATGAAGATCTAATTGAAAACAATATTGCTCATCTCTGTGTTTAACGAAACTTTTATTTGGTAAACATGTTACTGTCGAAACTCCGACTTCAATATAATATTAATAAACCTGTGATGCATGGCTACATAGTGTTAAATAATTGTGTTTTCTGATTTAACGTTAAGTTCATTAGGGTAAACTAAATATTGCCATTCATTAATCTGAAGTAGATGTAGTTTATGGTAAACTTTGCAGATTTTACCAAACAATTGTCTGATCTTATTTGCAGTGCAACTTAATAATTAGACAAACTCAAGTAATTTTAGGGTTCTTTGTAGTGAGACTAAATTAACATATAATTTGTAATAAACTTATGAAAAAAATGATTGATCTAAACTATAAAATTAAACATAATCAATTTTACGAAAAGTACGAATGTATTGACAAAAGCAAACTAGATGAGCGTAAAAAACTACCAGACTGGAAATTTTTGAAAACACCGTAACCTTGAGATTACTATTAAGACGCTTTAGACACAAATAAACAGTAATATCTTCGCTTCAGAATTTGAAATCTCGATTTCAATATGTGGTCTAATTTCTATTATCATTTGGTGGGTGAGAATGTTAACTTGTGTCGTCTGGTGAATGGTTTTGCTGATGGAAAAAAAGATGCGATCGTTTGGTAACTAGAAAATCATACTTTCATAAAAGAGCGACGTATTCAGTGGTGTGAGATTTTGAGAACGAACCTGAATATAATGTCTACCCCGTTGACACTGATCTCCATACAAGCTGAATTTATTGATGTAGACGTTTCTTTTGGCTTGTGCGTAGCTTTAAGTGGGCATTTGTTAACATGTTAAGTTTTCAAATTACACTGAAAATTGAAAACCTGTATATGGATACGGTATTTTAGATGTGCTATCTTACTTATCTTGGTTGAACGTAACATATTTAAAGAGATTTTCAAAGATATAATACATTTAAATAAGTATTTTCTTATCGGTAGGATATTCATGTACTATTTTAAAAATTATTCCTCATTCATACTTCAAAACTTTTAGAATAATCCTGGACACTTCATTCGCCGAATAGGAATATATCAACATCATATTACTGTCACAAACTGCAAACACTTCAAATTAGGTTGATAATCAGTACTAAAGAACTCTACATGACAACAGGTAAATCTAGGGATTTTTAGTGTTATGTCACTGAGTTGCTTTTTACAGGTCCTGAAATTTCGAAGGGTTTAGAACAATGGAATACCGATTTGGGAAAAAATGCAATTTTACAATACGGATTTGAACTTATCAGTAATACTGTGAAAGCTGAATTAGTTCCGCAACTACTTCTGGATTCTATAAAGGAAATTTATCAAGATATTAATTCTAATCTTTCAAATTTAGATGCTATCGCTTTTAAAGAAGTAATAGCTGAACTATTTTAATGGACCAAATACATATTTGATTGTCTTAATCATGTTGAAAAAAATATTTAAAACAATGTTTGAATTCCACAAATACGCAAAAAATACCTAAAGGATTAGGCGAAATGTTATTTCTTAATTAATGAACTATCTGCTGGATTAAATCTAATCGCTAGCTGTTATCTCATATTTGGTGTGTAAGATAATATATAATTCCTGGCACAATGCTAAATTATGTTTAAAGAAGGTAGAACAACAAAAGTACCGATGAGAAATCTACGGTCCACATTTTCGTAGACAAATAAATAGAACAGAATAGCTGAAAAATCTTTGAAATCAGTTTAATTATTAAAATAGTTATAGAACAGCATTACCAAAATTATTATAACAAAGCTATAGTTAGCAAAGATGGATATTGACTGGCAGTGGGACTTAGGACGCGCGTTTCGTTCTACTTGGGACTCGTCAGCTGGATTTACTTGCATCCCAGAGTTGGTGTTCACTCCGAGATGAACATACGCCAATAAGAGACTGATCAATTGCAGTCCTAAAAATCAATGGGGAGATTCAAGCAAAGCTATAGTTGTTTGTTACTTCTAAAGTTCTATAAGTCTTTCTTTGTCAATTTTCAAACCGAATTCAACTCGTCTCGCTAGTAGTGTATATGCATATAATCTATCAGGGCATGAAATATCCTTTTGAATGTCATTAGTCGTAACTCAAACGTTTTATCTTCGTTCAGCGTGAACTAGAATTCCTCACTTTTAACGTTTCAGTGTGAGGAGTCAATGATACTTAATTAATTCGTCTATTAACAATAATTTTGCAATAAAGCATAAATGTAAATATGTATACTTATAGATATATACCACTGAATATCTTTAAATGTGTGATAGACTAGATGGAGTCTCTTGTTTATTAGAGTTCACTGGTTTACTTTGCGACAGATAGATGATAAGTATAAGGGAATTATTAGTGAGAAATTATCCCTGAAAATCTTATTTTGAAAAAAAGGATGGATACTGTTTATATTATTCTTCCATGTCTTTAAACAAAACACAGGAGTCAAAAAATGGTACCACTCAACGTATTACACCCAAAGTAATCATGTCTGAATTAACTAAAGTTATTCAACCTGAAGAATTCAGTCAAACAAGGGATTTACACCAACCAATTGTACGAAAGTTTGGTGAGAAATTAAATAACCGGGGAAAGATTTGGTGTACGATTTCGGCAGATAGAGCTGTTAAAAATGCCTTAGCATTTGACATTCTTGAGAGTATTTTACTAGGACTAATAAAGTTTACGGTACCAAGAGTTGTAAGTTAATTGTATTTTTCTTCTGGTATTCAACTTGATTTCTGCATAATCTATCAGTTTAATTGAGTCACTAGTAATGGCGAAGTAACCTCATTTATAAAATGACCTCAGTTACAACAGATAATTCTAGTAATTTCATTCGACTAGATCAAAAGTGTTAAATACATCAGGAAGAAAACAATAAATAATCAAAGCGACTCATCCAATAAACGTGTACGTATATATTTAGTCGGTGTTACAACGATATGTATCATATGTATTTAAATAGTCTGTTACAATGTCCTATCCTTATAGAAGTAGAAGGTCAGACCACGACATCGATCCGTGATTATTCGGACCATGTAAAAAGGCCGTAGACTTTGTTGGAAGTGTTGTGGTCTCTGAGTTGGATTGTTTGGTTGTTTAGCCTTCATTGTTCGTCTGAACAACATCGTCATTACTCACTTTAAAGAGAAGTGAGCTACTAGAACTTCTTCGCAAATGACTAACAGCTTATTGCGTTGACCTGAAATTCGGTTGATTGTCATCCAAAACCATTTGGTCGTTGTTTTTACATTTGTTTTGGTTGTTTTCTCTCTCGACCTGAGTCCTGACCTCATCGTTTACGTTTACATGCACAACAGTTAGTTGTTAGACGACATGACATAGCTTTGCATATATCAACACATCTGGACAACCGTGGTTTTGAGTTGGAAACGCTGAAATATTAAACAAATAAAACACACAACAAGCCAGAGTTTTTAGACGTCTGGGATTCTAATTGGGCGTCAGTTAATAGGCACATCGGAAGCAACTATACCTGTCAATCAGTAAGAAAATGGATTTAGAAAATGCAAGGCTAGGGTGTAGGTCGGGAGAGAAAATAACAAAAAACAACGACCACACGGTTTTGGATGACAGTCAACCAAATTCCAGGTCAACACAATAAGCTGTCAGTCATTTGCGGAGAAATTCTAGTAGCTCACTTCTCTTTGAAGTGAGTAATGATGTTGTTCTGAAGAACAATGAAGACTAAACAACTAAACCACAGCAATTGCGAAATCCTCATATTGAGCTACAAATATTTTCCATCAACTGTAGACGTCCTTTGTATATTTTACAGGATTACAGAAGCTGAAAACCAAACGATGTTAATTAAAGTCATTCACCGTTTTTCAAACCAACTTATGTGCTATCGACCTACAATTTTTATTTCCTGTGTTTTCCAACATTCGATTATCTTGTTTGAGCTACGTGTTACTGTCGGTGTTATGCTTGTCACTGTTTTATTGCTTATTTTCAAATGTTCACTCGAAGAAATGGAAATAAAATAATGGTATACTGAGGCCATCGTAAAGATAATGATAAGCGAATATTTTTTGAGCACGTAGACAAGGTGTCATTTCACGGCTAGGAAGAGCCTCTGCTATTTTGAAGAGTTGAATGGGAAGAAATCTTGGTATATTTTGTCGTATTCTATAAATATCTTTAAAGTCAACATGTGTATAAGTTGAGTGATTAGAGTTGAATAAATGTTTCGTGATGGAATTCCTAACAGCCTCTCTCACTCTACTGGGAAATGTTCCCGTATCCGTGTTAAAGCGATCACTAGATACGCCCTATGTGTCTCAGTTCACAGGAGTAGGTAGGCTATTAGGTGGAGAGATGACTAGACTAGAGAGCCTATCCTTCACAGATATGGAAAACAGATTTCAGTTCTTAGCTTTAATGGCAGTTTTGTTGCATAGATCTTCCTCTCAATTACTGAAGGTAAATGATTTTTAAGTATATTGGAATTTTGGTCAGGTAGGTAGATATGGAAAAAACATAGAATGGGATTTAAGTGAATATTTTCATCGCAAATGGCGAGCGTGTTATCCATATGTCTTTCCGTAAAATCTAAATTGTTTGATGACCAAACTAAGTTGTTTGTCTTCAAGCATAGACGTGAAACACTGTGGTATTAGTGGTTCTAACGGGGTCCCATAGCTATGTCTTCCCTTTGACTTTATACTTAATTGTTGAAACTCAATCAGGTGCTGAAAATTCGAAGTAATAATAGCCCTTTCAGACGGTTATTTCGCAAACTGGCGCCTGCGTTGTGTGGGTTATTATAGTCACAGATGTAGCGCATAGTGATCATTAGTAAGCAGAGAACTAACACCAAGAAAGACCTGAGTTCTCCAGAATTTGAAAGACACTTTTATTTAACATATCTTTTATAAGGGTAAATTATTAGTTTGCCTTATAATAAGATAGGGAGTGAAAGAAATACATTAAAGTACTATATTTTGAAACACTTCGGAAAGAGGAAATCAACTACATTGTCGTTTCAACTAAAAATCATGCCAGTTTTTCGTTGGACTAATCTCGATAGCATCACTATAGTTGGTAAGCTCTGACATGCCTTAGTTTAAATCCCTTGTCCCATTTTACTTTAGATAAGATTCCGATGAATATTTTTATGTTACAGATTAGGTTTACAATGGGAGAAGAATTCGTTTTTATCATTATTTTTGAACAAACAATAAGTGATACTATCAAAGAGTTGACTACCAATGAATATAATCTTCAGTATAAAATCTTGCGGATGAATCGGCTAAAAATGGTAATTCAGTAGTCAAATAAAATTTCATTGTTTTTAAAAGAAAAATAATGTGTTTGCTTGGTTGTATTATAAAACGATTGAATGCCGAGAATTCTATACTAGTATTACCGTCTTAGTTTATATGCTTTCCTAAGATTCTTCTTATTCAATCTCAATTCAATTTATTCAAACGCCAAAAATAATATAGGAGTCACAACAGGTAGTACAAATCAGTTATATCTGTCATTGACGTCCACTGACACTTTTCATTGGATTTCAGTAAATAAGTAAACATGTCGTTCCGTGCACTATTATGGTTATGGTTTTCTCTTTTCCTTCGTCGCCACTGTTATGATATCTTTTCTATTCCAAGATGACAAGGTTGGATGGACGTAGGGATCACAATAAAAAAACGTTAGTATATTTATAATTTTTACGTAAGGAGATTCTAGAGTCTTCTAAAAGCATTATCCAGTGTTAATTGACTAAGAAATAGCCAATCAGCTTGCCCCAACACAATCCTGCATGGAACATGTTTTAATCTAATCTTTATCTTGCTAGCAACATGTGAAATCCAGATGAAGGTAGGATCCCCCTAATTAAAAGAAATCGTTAAAGTGATCCAATAAACCTACATTTTCCTTTAGAAATATTTCCAAACAATTTGGTATTTATCAGTATAGGGTTGTGGAGATTGTTGAGTTTAATTCGATGTCATGAATGGATTAATGATTGACCATCATTGATCCATTAATGATGTCAATCTAGAAATTTTGTATGTGTTCGACTGGATTTTTTTTACTTCAGCTGTTTTTCGATCAATAAGCAAGAAAAAACACGTAGTATTAGAATATGAATTAATCTAAATATATATGACATTCGGCGATAGTAAATGCATTTACTAAATATTTATGAGTTCCTTAATAACACCGTTGATCGTTAACGGGGTACATTATTATGGTATCAAGCATGAAGACTTGAAATTCTCCAAATAAGTATTGTGTTGCCATAATATACATGTTTGTTGAAAATCTCATTTCCCCAATTTAGAACCCTTGATCAATCTAAGATATACCTTTGGTTTAAAACGTTTATATATTGTTAACTACATTAAAGAGGTTATGTTTTTGCTTGTAAATTGTGCATTACTAATGGCGTTTAGATATTTAATTCTTTATTAGTTGTGTCAAGTAAGACATATTTTTTGTATGTCATTTATGACAAAACCAATGACTAAACTATAACTTCATTATTTTAATCATTAACTTACTTAACTCCAACCAAAATTTGTACACAACGTAGTCTACAGAGTTTATCGTCTCTCAGGTAGGTTCCATAATGAAGACATTACAAGCACTATATCCATCCCACCATTGTTGTTAGAATGAGTTAAAATTCTACATAGGTATGAATGGACTTTGTTTCCTTAAATAGATTTTGTGCCGCCAGTTTTTCCTTCGGATAATTATGTAAAATTAAAAAATTAAACTATGTAAATCATGACAATTGTATGATGTCTGACGCAATGTTTTTTTAACTATATTAATTGATAAATTGATATTATCACGTAAATACTGGTAAAAACTTATTACAGATCGATAAGGTAGCAAGAAAAAAGCCTGGTGATGTACTCGTTTCAATGGCTATTGACTCATTATTATCACTTTCAATCCCTGGTCCAATTACTGGTACATATACAAACAATTCGATTGAAGAGAAACTATTAAAAAGTTAAGTATAATTCGAGGTTGTGGTTTTATCGTTTATGATTGTGAATGACTTTGAATAAATTTTGCTAGCTTAAGTTCATGTCAGCGTTACAATCAACTGAGATATTTAGAATCACATATAGTTGTTATATTTTATGGACATCATTTTATTCTAATATTACACTGCGAGTTGAGCCTATATCTCTCAAGCTTAGAACATTTAATGATTATTTCACAATGAATGTTTTCACAAGAATATTCTAAGTTGCCTAAAAATCCATAATAATCAAATAGATTCCATAGACCTGTGTTTAACAAGGTGTAGATGGTTTTCAACTAGTGAGTGTGTCTTAAATTACTGGCATCTTTTGTCTAGATGGGCCATATGAATGCTATTTAGGGGCCTACCACACTCAACATTCTTCTCACTAACCTTTAAAACTGTTCGGAGGATATGTAACGGGAATTAGTTTATAACTGGCACAAGATAGAGATATTTATCAGGCTGACATTAATACTAGTCAGATGGAATTTCGTATTTCTCGGGTAAGAATTTGAGCAAGTCTAACTTTGTTTCTTAAGTAATGGTTTTCTTAAACAAATATAAACAATTTTCATGAGAGCGTCTCCTCAATTCAATTACATAATTTTCTTAAATGTCGTTTTTGTGACCCTAATTGAGATTAATAGGTTGTCTAGAAAACCGCTTTTAAATTTATTAGGGAGAACGCAGCTAGAAAAATTTTCTCACTATTAATTTAATTTGATCACGTGTCAAAACGATGAACAACATTTAAGATAACAAACCTTATATTCTGGAAATAGAGGTCTTCGTAAATCCTTGCCTAATCAGCTGTTTAATGTGAGAAAACATTGTCGCAGAGATGATAATTTCAGTCATTCTACGAGACAGTGACTTTTACACTCAATTTTACATGAAACAATTCTGGATAGCTTTATTATGTGTTCCACATGCATACAAATACTTTCCAACATCGTAAATTTGATTCTCCAAGTGTATTCTACGAGACTACGAATGACGTTTGTTTGAATTTGCTGCCAAAAAATGAAAATGAAACATTTGGAACACTGGTGTGTTTAAATGTAGAATGCATTATAAGTTTACTATTTGTTTTGTTTGTCAATTAGCTTTAGTTTGTGACGTATTGTTAAACCGAATTTGTTCAGTTGATGGAGCTACCAATAGAGTTGGTGAATGTTTGCCCTTGGCTACGTATCACGACATGATAAATGAGGATATAGTGAGTACATTTAATAGATTTATTTATTAAACTTTGAATGACACTAGACTAGCAAGAAAATGTATATTTTTCTTACTAGTTTTTCCAACAATAGCTACAGCTCACTGACTCAAGCAGTAAAATTTCATCTTATGTGGAATAGTATTACCCTCCCTCCATCATCTACGCACATTTGAAAAATTTTGGTTCAAAACATACTGCGGAAATTCACATAACACGCTGAGATATTGGCTACCAGTTTAATGTAAAGTGTTTCATCAACTACTTTACATCACTGCCTTAAGTTTACGAAAGTGAAAATAAAATATGACTGTTTCACTTTTTTTATTTATTTGAAAATAATTAGTTGTATTCTGGACCGAAAATAATTGATGGACTTCCGAAAGCATCGATTACTGGATAATTTTCTTAATTTACTTTACCCGTCAACAGTTTATCAGGATTAATAGTTAGCTTAATAACTTGACTTTTTATTTATGATGAATTAATGGGTGTCTTAGATTTTCATTTTAAGACAATTCATTTATGCAAAACAACGTGTCTATCTACATAACAAATCTTGTTTGACTTTGGAATTTTAACCAGTGAGATGGTTCAGGTTGGCATGGCTAACTGGAGTTGTCAGATTTTGTTGTTGTTGTGTGATTTATCACTAATGAGTAAAGAGATTTTAATGATTTAGGCGATTTGCTAAATATAACTCACTTTGAAATTATTTTTGACAGCGGATTGAGATTTGGTAAACCATCACAATAAACATTTTCTATTTCTGAGGCTGATGCTCACATCTCCTTTTTTTGGCATCTTGATGAGGCATACTTCTATCTAGTCTGTCGGCACTTGTTCCTCGTCCCAAATCTTCCTGAATAGAACGCGGAGCATACTTGCAGTTACTTCTATGTCCAACTTCATTGCTTCAGCTGGTATATTTCCCGGTTCTGGTGATTTTCATTTCTTGATTTGTCTGACGGTCATCCTGATTTCATCGATCGTTGGTGGAGTGACATCCATTGGAATGTTTGTGTGTGTTGCCACGATGTTTTATGGGTTCAGTGGGATTGGTTTATTGAAAGGCCTTTCATTGTGTTATACCTATATGTTACGGTGTTCTGCAATCTCAGTGATTGGATTGAATTCTTTGTCCATCACTGGTCTCTCTGGTTTACCATATTTCCATGCTAGTTTCTTCGTCGTGTCAGATAGTTGTTTCATATTTCCTTTTCTTGCAGCTTTTTCCGCTGTCGTTGCCAGCTCTTCCACGTATCTCTGCTTGTCAGCTCTAATGCTCCCCATCACTTCCTTGCTTGTTTCTGTGTATTGAGCTTATGCCTTAACTTTCTCTGTTCTTATTCGACTGTTGTTAATTTCTGTCTTCGTGTTCTTCCTTGAATCTTGTTCAGGGTTCCCATGGAGATCTATTCCCTATAATGATGCTTCTCGCCCCCCAGGACCTCCAGACGTTTGATCTTCCGATGTCATATTAACAAGTTTTTAACTATAACTCTCTTGAGCTGGTGTATGAACTTACATCTGGTTGGCCAGTAATTTTATGTTTAAAAAACATGCATTGATCTTTCGTTTTTGATTAAATTAATTTTAGTGTGATTTGTAAATCATATTGTTGTATCAAAACACTTATCAGTTTGACTCGTTTTAGTACTATTCTAAATTCAAAATTTACGGATCCCAAGGTTCGATGAAAATCAGTTTCTGAAAAATATAAATTTATAGGATAAATCAGTGCCTAGTTTTATTCAATTCATGTAGCTAGATAAACACAACTTAAAAGTTCAACACTAAATAAATTCATTTTCATCAGTTTTTTACAGAGGGATTAGAAATGTTGAAATATCACATTGATAACGACCTTGAAGATATTGATCTCATAGAAACTCATCAAGAAACTAAGCCAGGTAAATTTTTATGGCAAATTTTAAATATGGTAAATTCTGAGATTTTAAATGTTGAGATATCTGATAATTTATTTCCTGTACAGAAATAAAGCCAACCCTTCTGTACTTCAAAGTCTTATCATACTTGAAATCGTTGCTGTACTTATACATATGTTTGTTTACTATGTGTCTTCAGTTGTGTCTAACTCACAGTTCCTAGAGTTGAACACTTAACAGTTTTGATTTCCACTGTTTACAATTTTATATAAATCATGTTAATAAGTAGATGCAGTCACTCTTAAGATGATTAATGTTGTAACGTTTTCTTTATGACAAATTGTGTCTATCCAGTCCAGTGGTAAATTGATGAATGGATATTTTATTCATTAAGATAAAAATTGAGATTGTATATATCTCTGGCTGTCCGTTTTGAAAAATATTATTTGGATTTCTCTCTCTCCTTGGTCCTTTCGTTCCGAGAGGTTATGCACGGTGAATATAATTTGTAATTGAAAGTATAAACTTATAACTTTGATTGAGATCATGGACCGATTGATAGAGCTAATCCGTGTTGGGTAGAAACAGGTGTCTACCTCAGTACAATGGAAGATTGTCGCGCAATTTCGTGGATCGGTTGAGGTTATACATTAACACCACTAGATGTCGGCTCAGTGGTCCAGTAAGTTAAGCGTTCGTGCGCGAGACTGAAGGCCCTGGGTTCGAGTCCCGCAGGCGGGATCGTGGATGCGAACTGCTGAGAAGTCCCACAGTAGGACGAAACGGCCGTTCAGTGCTTCCAGGTTTTCAATGGTTGTCTAACATCAATCGGTTCATGATCTCAATCAAAAACTTAACAATCTCCACAACCCCTAAAATGATTAAACTTATTATTGTTGTTCATATCCTATTTGCTTCCACTAACTAGATTTGACTCAAGCATTTGCAATAATCTCTGTTTGTTGCGAATGCACAATTTCAGCGACTCTTAGTGACCCTTTATATGAATCCATTTAAAGCGTGGGACTATCGTTATCGATTTATACGCATCGTCAGTCCTCGTATATTAATTATCGACTTAACTCGCGTTAATGAATAACAGAATTAAATAAGTCAAATACGAGAATGCATTTCCGAATACGTATATTTTGTACAATCGTTGATCAGAACAGACAATCAGAGACGGAAAGAAGGAAATGAAGAGAAGAGAGAAGCAAAACTAGATGACACACAATGGAGGAGGCGTGTGAGCCAACTCGACCTAATCGAGCGTAAATCAATATTTATAGTCAGACGAAAATAAGTTACAGATATGTGCGCACATACGCTTACATAAAAACAACCAAGGTTGATAAGCCAGTAAGTGATAGGGTAAAAATGTGGCTAGAGAAGAACGCATAGATTGATCTGTCCAGAGGCTAGAATAACCTACGTGTGCTTGACATAGAACCGGCCTTTATAGACTCATAACCATAAGTGAATGTCATTTAAAGCATACCTAATGATTTAATTCTGTTCCTTGAACATTATACAATACCTGTGTTTCGTTTTGGAAAAATAGCACAAGTATTTCTTCAGTGCAACAATTAAGTATTATTATTGTTTTTTATTTTTTTCTACAGTTTTTAATGCATACGGATAATGTTTTCTATGCTGATACTGATGCCGATGAAGGATATTTGTTTGTTAACTAAGGATTAGTTTTGTGACCCCTATTTTCATAACAATCTGAAGTCATCATTGTGGAGTATCCGTTATTTTCGGAAAACTCATTTTTAGCACAAAACTTTAATCGTATACACAGAATTTCAGTGCTACCAGATTTTTCCTCTATAAAATACAGTTTGTAAAATAATAGTAATCATAAATTTGTTTATATTTTATTTAAAGCAGTTTTCAGTGAAATTTATTCTTGCATTTCACGAGTAATAATACCTTTGTAATCAATAGTAAGTTGTTTATTGAAAGGAGTGAGATTTTCTAGAGAGGGCGCGCAATTGAGTTTGATACCACGGTTTTCCTTCATTGGCTGATTTTCAAGCGGACCCCGAGAAGTTCTCTACGTATCTGCACATATCCATCGTTCGTTCTCGAGTAAAGTAGTAACGAAAATTCTACTTTCGTTAGTTTTCTCATTTGTTGGGGGCTAGATAGAGAGTCTTTATTGTTACATTACTAGTAAGGTTGAACAAGTGATTGACCACCGAGTAGTAACCACTGTCATATTTGTCTAGCCCTTTTATTAGTGCTGACCGAATCCGACCAATCAAGTTGGAATATATTCACTGGTCTAAGTGACTTAACATCGCCCGAACTTGGGATATTAAGTGGTTGTAGGTAGTCGATAGGGGACTCTAGACCCAGGTTTCGTGCTAGTTGGCACTTGTTAACATGACGTACCTATAATGCTGAGAAAACTGGTGATCTTTAATGAATTCAATCCAGTTTCACTTAACCTCAGAGTTTGCGTAGTTACCACTGAAATATTCGGGCTATGAATTGCCAAACAGACCTGATTTTATCACTGCTCAGTGATGAAACAATTGTAAATATCTCTGTCCGAACATTTGAATGGTAATTATTCAGACTCTGAAGCTGAGTGAAACGAGATCGAGTCCATTAAGGATCATCAGTTCCCTAGACACTATACGAACGCCTGGCTAACGAGTGTCGAATTGCACGAAACCTGGGTATAAGGTTTCCTGTCGACTGCCTGCAATCAACTTACATCCCAACAAAGTTCAGTTAAAATTTATTATGGGTTGACTAATGAATTTCCTTGGATTGAATAAATGGAGACAGGTCTCAGTGAAACTACTAATTACTTAATAATAATATGCCTAGTAATAATATGTCTAGTTTTTAGTGTCGACTGACATGGATTTTTGAGTGTTTTTTAAAGTTTCCTTTTTCAGAATATAGGAGTAGATAGATTATAAAATCGTCAATTTCTGAAGATTCAATAAATTGTATATGTTTGGCGTTGAAGAGCTCAGGAAACAGAGATTGTGATTAACATTTTTTTCCGCAGTTTGTAATCAATTACAGGCTTTTTCAAGAATCATCTCACAAATAATAGAGGATTTTTCTCTTTTAAATCATCTCTATATATCTGTAAGAATAAGTATTGCAATAGATTAAATATTTGGCTTTTTACAAATTTAAATATAGTGAGAGGAGAATAACTATAATGGTTATCAAAAAGAATTAATAGTTACATGTTTTCAAATTAGGAAATGAGCACTCTGTTGAATAACCGTTATTAAGTTTGAAGCAGGGGACGAAATATTTAGGAAGCCAAATGCAAATAATTCAGATCTTGAGGACGTAGTAACCGATTATTTGTGACAAAGAAGTAGTAACTGTAAGAAGAAAATAAAACGATACAGGTAAATTTGTTTGGAGTCGTAGATTTCGAATTTCCAAAAATGAATATTGGGTATTTTTATCAGGAAAACTAGTTACTAGCTACTGTTTCCAGAAATGAATTGCCACAGTTATTGCTATGTAGAACAAGTTTTCCAAGGCGAAATAAATATATCCTTTCATCGTTTTAATACATTTGATTTGAGAGAAATTGTTGTCTTGTGCTGTATCCGATTGTGAAACAAGCTTTCTATACATGAGTCCAACCGAATAGATTAGTGAAAAGGAGGCCATCATTCCCATCCATGGAGTACTTCATTTCTTAGAAAAGGAAGCCATATCTTTGGCAGTCGCTTAAGCTTACCATTTGGCAGATGACTAATTGGGCAACTGTATTAAAAAAATTAATAAACAAGCATCCAATCAAATACCTTAATTAATACAAATTAAAAGCCATTTCACGTGCTTTTCTGTTAGTTAAGTTACAATCTTTTCATGATATTATAATAAGATAGTGCTAGAAACTACGAAATACATTCTGTGTACTACCTGAGTAACTAATGTGCACAGCAACAAGTAAACTTGTAGATGGGCGTTATGGTTGACCAAAACACAAGACTGTCTCAAAAATCATTTGTCGGTATGTTTAAACCATAAAGTGCTCAACAAAAAAGCAGTTATTTATCAAAAATGAAGATTCCAGCTTCTTTATAATTCCTGCCAGTACATTTATCTTTTGGACTGACATTCATAAAAATAACTGTCTTTGACAATGCAGCAAATCGTCTTTTATGATAGACTTGGAGCTATTAAATATGTCTCCAAGTTTAATACTTTTAAGCTAATTATGGTGACTTAATTAATATTTACTTCTGTCAAGCTTAGTGCAAAGGATTACTTACCCAGGTATCAGCATGATTTTACAAATCGGTTAACAGATTTATTTACAAACAGATGATCGATTTCGGTCACTAAAATTTCACCAAAGCTACTTTCAATAGTTAAGAATTGCTAACCTAAACGTTTGTCTACAAGTACCATCCAAACATATAATAACTACCTCACCGAATCGGCAATTTTTCGATTTTCTTAAAAATATTCGTCACATTTTATGATGTTCCATTCACTATCGAGTTAAAATCAAAGTTCACAGGGCTATCAAATATGCTTAATTTAAACGTTGAAATCTGAGTTGTTTATGTCTACACAAAAAGATTAGAGTGAGTAACCTCATGGAGATAAATTCTTTGTATATAGACATTTTATCTAAAGAAGCTTAATCGCATGATAAATAGCATCATCGAAGCTCAGTGCGTAATAAGTTCTTACAAGATATTCCATTTTAACAAACTTCATTTTACTATGTGGAGTAACTCCATAAAGTATAAAGGATAATCTCCGAATAAGATCGTTGCACAGTTTCTGTGAAATATGTCACAGTAAAGTTTCACTTGTATGTCAAGAGTAAATATTGTTAGATACTGATGTTGAATATTGCATGCAGCTGAAGAGAGACCACGAAATATTATGAATTCAAATTATTCTGCCTTAATTCTTGCATTTCACCCTATTCGAATATTGTTGGTCTTTCCCGAACTCATTCGTCTGTCAAATAAACTGAAAGAGTAATTCAAGTCGATCATCTGACTTTAAGCATTGTTTCTTGTAAGCAGTTTTCGGATATCACAACAAAGGTTGAAAATTCAATATTATTTGTTTGGAAGATTTGTATTATTAGTTTTTGATGTTTATGACTGGATTTCGTAATTCTTTGTTGGTAATATGGGGTCTTTTAACAAGTCGATTGTATTTTAAATAGCAATTAACAGTGTCATCAAGCAAGCATGCTTTGTTATGTCATAGAATAATTTTAAAGATTTCATATCCAAACCGAAACAGATCATATTCCTGAATACGCTTACCATTTGTAGGAAATAACATACGCGTTTAGCAAGTCGGTGTTTTTAGTGACTCATTAGCCTTACAAATAACATATTAATGTTTAGAACGATGAACATTGTGGTTCCAGTCTGGAAATTAACATTTGCACTATGATCCACGTATAATCAGCCAACGAATCACTCGTGGAATGTAACAGAATTCACCGATTTCACTTAAGCCACTATTAAAAGTGCAGCCAACTTTACAATCCAGTAGTTGATAAAGTGTTATGCGAATTAGACATTACTGTTAATGGAACTATGAATTTCCCGTAGTGTTTGTAAATCAATGCATGTACAGATAAAGCGACGAGAAAGATGTCCAAATAATTTCTTTATTTATTATTTATTTTAACACATAGATATTGGTACAAGGGGGCACCAAATACATATGAGCCACACAAATCTCATTCGATATGTGTGAGGGCTGTGATACTGCCCAGGTGCCCAAACCGAAGCAGGTTGATTGAAAATAAACGTAAACATGGACGTGTGAAGTGTTAAAGGATGGTAAGTTTACGTTACACAACCAGTAATCTGCCAACTGAGCAATGAAAAGAAGCTGATATCCACGCCCTGGTTGCAATTTAGTTGCTAAGTGCAATCCGCAACTGCCGCATAAATAAAAGAGACTTAATTGTTCACAAGTTATTTAATAAATCAGTCAACCAGCTCTTACCATTAATCAAACTGGATTGAGTTAGGGATAAGAAGAAACTTATCGTATAGAGATTTGACCGCGTGATACAGCCTAGATATGGAATATAAAAATAGCAGCTATTAGAGTTTTAGTTTGGTAACTTAATTGTAACCAGTTTAGCCATCAGCTTGAAAGTTTCGGCATACGATTATTTTATGAGCAAAGTTCTCTTATATTTCCAACGATAAACTCGTTTACCAAGAAATTAATTTACTACATTGAACTAGTTGAAGTAATCTGACTATTAATAAGTTAATGTTTAGAGATAAACCGTGTCGGGTGTGAGGTAGTTATCCACTGAAGACGATGAGAGATGGTCACGCAATGTCATGAACTGATTGAGGTTATACATCAATGCCGTTAGATGCCAGCTCAATGGTCTAGAGGTCAAGTGGTCGGGAGCGAGATCAAAGGTCCTATGTTCGACTCCCAACTCCGCCTGTAGCTCTTCTAGAGTTATTGCCGGTCCCAAGCCCGGGTAAATGACGAGGGTTGGGCATGGGATTAGCGACCCCTTCCAGTAGAACACTAACTCGCTAAAAAAACGCTAACCAGAAATGTTCGGTTCCCACGTTCAAAATCGTGGATTAACACTATTGAGGAGTCCTGTATCAGTATGAAATGGCCATCCAATGCTTTTAGGTTTTCAGTGATGGTCGAACTTAGATCGGTTCAAAATTTTAATGAATATTTAGAGTTATAACTAGAATCCAGGCATTGAACACATCTCCATTCCATCATTTATTTGGAGATAATGTATTTTTCTGATAAACATATAAACTTTTACCCGACAAATATGGGCACAATGCCTAAACTTTTATCATCAGTCAATCATTGCGGAATAACTCAA